CTCTGCCTCCCTCCTACTCCTCCTCCCTCCTCCTCCTCCTCCTCCTCCTCCTCCCCTCCTCCTCCTCCTCCTCCTCCTCCTCCTCCCTCCTCCACCTCCTCCTCCTCCTCCTCCTCCTCCTCCTCCTCCTCTCTCCTCCTCCTCCTCCTCCTCCACCTCCTCCTCCTCCTCCTCCTCCTCCTCCTCCTCCTCCTCCTCCTCCTCCTCCTCCTCCTCCTCCTCCTCCTCCTCCTCTCTCCTCCTCCTCCTCCTCCTCCTCCTCCTCCCCTCCTCCCTCCTCCTCCTCCTCCTCCTCCTCCTCCTCCTCCTCCTCTCTCCTCCTCCTCCTCCTCCTCCTCCTCCTCCTCCTCCCCCGCAATCGAGGAGTAGGCGCCCGGACTTCCTAATGCAAATTATGGTGCCTCCCCCGCCAACGTGTGCTCCGGCTCCGCCCTACTTGTTGGACGACTTTGCAAGTATGGGCGAAATGGTGGCCCTGCATTCTTAGTTGCTTTGATGTCGACGTCCGCCCTACTGTGCCGTTCACGTCGCTGATTCCGCCATGTTTCTCCGGAAATGTATCCGCCCTGCCTTCCCGTTGCGGACATTTCCGCCCTGCTTGTTCGCATCGATTTGGGTGCTTGTCCGAGACAATGCTAAATCGAACATCGACCAGGGCACGGAAGATATAGAGTCAGGGTCCTCTCCGTCCTCCGCCTCTCCACCTCCACCTCTTCTTCCTCCTCCTCCTCCTCCTCCTCCTCCTCCTCCTCCTCCTCCTCCTCCTCCTCCTCCTCGTAATCGTCCTCCTCCTCCTCGTCCTCCTCCTCCTCCTCCTCCTCCTCCTCCTCCTCCTCCTCCCCCTCCTCCTCCTCCTCCTCATCCTCCTCCTCCTCCCTCCTCCTCCTCCTCCTCGTACTCCTCCTTCTCCTCCTACTCCTCCTCCTCCTCCTCCTCCTCCTTCTCCTCCTTTTCCTCCTCCTCCTCCTTCTCTCCACCTCCTCCTCCTCCTCCTCCTCCTCCTCCTCTCCTCCTCTGCCCTCCCTCTCCTTCCTCCTCCTCCTCCTGCTCCTCCTGCTCCTCTCCTCCCCTCCTCCTCCTCCTCCTCCTCCTCCTCCTCCTCTTTTCCTCCTCCTCCTCCTCCTCCTCCTCCTCCTCCTCCTCCTCCTCCCCCTCCTCCTCCCCCTCCTCCTCCTCCTCCTCCTCCTCCTCCTCCTCCTCCTCCTCCTCCATCTCTTCCTCCTCTTCCTCCTCCGCTTCCTCCTCCTCGTCATCTTCCCTGCCTCCCTTACCTCCCTGCCTCCCTCCCTCCTGCCCTCCCTCAAGTGACGCTTTCTTTGTTTTCTTCGAGGGGGTATGTTGGTTTGCTGTTATTTTTGTCATGCTATGTCACGCTGGAGCCGTCGAGGCGGCATCATGCCCCGGGGCCCTTGCGGGCCCTGGGACCCTGCACGCTGGAGAAGGTTCTGGGGCCCGGTTTAGGAGCTCAATCGAGCGAGGTCAAGACAGGCGCGGCCTCGGGGATCCCCTCTATCTCCGAGCAGATCGGGGTCTCCCTCTGTCGCGTACACAGCTGGCGCGAAGTTGCAGGAGGCAACGCCTTTTCTCCGAGCGAGACGAAAGAAACAATGGTGCTGATTATTGCGCCGCAAGGTCGAACCAGCTGGCCTCCAGCCAATCCGCAAGCCAGGAGCCCGTTGAGGCAAGGCTGGCTTAATGGCTCTGCTCCCCATTCACGCTGAACCCGAACTGTTTCTTGTTGAGCGTCGTGGTTGGCTAGTCGCGCCCTCGCGCCGCCGCCCTGAACGTCCCGATCCGCTTGGACGTGCACTCTGCCCAGCTGATCCGAAGGACCCAGATCGGTGCCTGAGCCATGAGGTGCTGTTCACATCACACTCTTGCTCCGTTTGGATGCCACTCGGAACTCTCCCAACCCAAGACGGCCTAAAGGATGCCAGGACGAGTCCAAGAGAGCCTCCAGATGGGACTGGCATTATCCAAACGGCTCCAGATGACACACACGCACACACATGCCCAAGACGGATCCAAGACGCAAGACTGCCCCCAAGACGGGTCCCCATCATGAGCCCTCCACGGCTCAGGATACGGCCCCGAAATTCTCCCTGCGATGCGATGCGATGCGACCACCGTTGCGGACAGCGTCCGGGCTTAGAGCAGACCAGGTGGGTGAGGCCATGGCCCCGGAGTTCTCCCTGGATAACCCACGGAGGGCCCATGAGAGGCCAAGAACATCGAACAACAGCTCACCAAATTAACCAGAACCCCCCACCAGTTTCCACTCCGCAGAGACCCGAGACCGCCTCGGATCTCGGCCACAGCACGGCACGTCGCGGCACGCGGGGGCCACCGAATCACGACTCAGCCGCAGCGCCCCGGACCCATGGCACGGCACGCGGCAGCACGCAGGGGACGCTGGATCTCGACTCAGCCGCAGCCCCCCAGACCCATGGCTCGGCGCGGCGCGGCGCGCACGGGCCAACGAACCCCGACGCGGCCCCGACCCACCTGGCCACCGAAGCAAGACTCGCCCACCCGATCACGACACGGCCTTCCTCTGGCCTGCGTCAAATGCGAGCCACTGGGCCACGACTTGGCCCCTCTGACCAACGGCACGCCACGCGGCGGCGCGACACGCGCGGCCCTCTGGATCAGAACTTGATCCAAGCATCGAAACTGCAACCACGCTTCGGCCCCTGATTGAGCAATTCCTTCCGCGGGGCCAGAAGGATGCCTGGAGCGCTTGAATGCGGCGGTCCCCCAGGCGGAGTTTGCGGAGAAGGGCGGCATGGCTGTGTGTAAACTGGCGAGGCACATTTGGCGGACTGGCCAGAACATACCAGTATGCCACTGCTCACTTGCAAGTGGAAAGCGGAATTACGGGCTCCGAGCCGCCCCACGCTGTAATTAGGCCGAAGATGGCCCAAGATACCAGTTTTGCCTCAGCTGGGCCTCTCAGGCCGTCAGATGGCCCCAGGGGGGACCCAGCAGGGCTCTAACAGGAGCCCAAGAAAGCCCCAGCTAGCCCCAAGAAAACCCTAGGAAGCCCCAAAGAGCCAACAACAAGAGGGCCCATACAGACCCCAAGAGGGCCCCAAGAAGCCCCGAGATTACGCTTGGACGCAAAAGGCCACAGCGCCATGGCATGAGGCCACAAGAAGGCCCCAAGATGATTTCGAGGTGGCCCCGTGGCTGTACGAGGAGGCCCCCGAGAGGAAGAAATCATCGATCAGCAATGTTGTGCAGTCATGGCCGGAGTCTCGCGTGTCTGGTCTCATGTGGGCCTCTGAGGTCTTGGGAGGGCCCCGAGATGTCTCCCATAGAGCCCCAAGGGTCTCTGAGAAGGCCGCAAGAAAGCTCTGAGATAAGGACAAGGGCCCTTCCGATAGCCTGCAGAGAATTCCGGAACCCCGAGAGGTTGCGCTTCGGCACAGCGAAAGCCGCGCGGACAACATCTGGATGCACTGCCTCTGCTCCAATTCTCCTGGCACGATCGAAGTGGGCATGGGAAACATGTGCACGATGCCCAGCAGCAAACGCTGTCCAGAACCGACAGCGGCCGCTGTTGGGCGGGCGACTTGCCGCATCAGGTGGGCAACCGCGGCGACAACAGGTCCTGTTCAAAGCGGGCAAGACATGCTGTCGGCCTCCATCCACGTGCCGATGGTGCCGACCCTCCACGCACGGTGCTGCGCGCGCGGTGGCAGGCCGCCAGGCACCCCGAATAGAGAAATCCTCTGGCCGGCTATATCCGGCGCTGCTCCCGCAGGCAGGGCTCCTGTCGGCCCCGCAGTCCTACACAGAACACATGAGCGACGATCCAAAAACAGGTCTTACGCAAGATGGCGTAGCGACCTCACGCGGCGGCTCACGCGGGCCGCCAGCGCGGCACGCTACGCTTGAAACGAGGCCGCTTACGCGCAAGCTTACGCGGGCAGCTTGCGCGCCAGCGTCGGCGAAGACGACCCGTTTTCTCACGCCGCTCAAGATGGAGGATGGCCTGCAGCACGAGGGGCAGCAGCCGCAGTGGCACGATCGGGATGGCTGGCACCAAGGGCGACGACGCAGCAGGACGGCGAGCGTTCTGACCGCGAGCGGCGTCGCCCCGCCACGAGCGGCGTCGTCCTGACTCGCAGCCTGACCGTCCGCCTCCCTACAAGGTGGGCGAAGCTGTCTGGCATCGGCGCCCGAGCTCGTGCTCTGGCTCAGAAGTGTCTCGTCTTGGGTAGTCCACTGCGGACCCAGTTGAAGCCCGTGTGTCCCCAGCATCTGGGGACGGCTTCTCCCCGGAGTCCAGGGGCAAGATGCCCACACGGGGCTGACTTGGCTTCGGGCGAGGACAGACAGACAGACGGACAGACAGACAGACAGGCAGACAGACAGACAGAGCATTAGCATAGGAGACACGCGAACACGCGCCAGCATACAGGTTGTAATGCTGCTGGTGCCTGGCCCCAGGAGCAATCCCGAACCGGGCCTTCTCCCAGGGCTTGCGCCACCATCCAGCCTCAGGCAAGCGCAGCGCAGAGCAGGCAGACGGACAGGCAGACAGAACAGGCAGAGTGAGAGAGAGAGAACTGATGGATTGAGTTCGGGACACACGTCATGGCACATGGTAGGAGAGATCCTGTAGCTACTTGATCCCTCGGCCACAGTGAAGTATACTCGGTAACCTTCGCCAGTCTCGACCAAAGTACGTCGAGTACTGTTACAAAGGAGCGGGGCGTAATCCCGGGAGGTGGGGGCAAGAAAGGATCGAACAAAAAAGAACCTACCAGAGGCCTGGGATCGGGGGCGTCCCAGAGGGGAGGCGGGGGGGGGGGCGCAATCATGGCCAGCGGTATGTGCGCGGCCCAGGGGGTGCCCCGAGACGTATTGACAGAAGGAGGGGCGCCATGAAACCTGGGGAGACATCATGGCCCGGCCCCACCATGATACCACCCCCCACCAGTCATCACCCTCCTCTTGGCCGCCCCCGATGGGAGGGCCAACTGCCGCGAGGCTCACGACTCCCGGAACTTGTCGCCGGCGTAGTACGCCCGCTTGCCAAGGCTCTCCTGGCGGTGGCCGGGCGCTCGAGGGCCACCAGGGCGGTGCCCCCCCCCCCCTCCCCCCCCCCCTGCGATGGCTCCCCCGTCGCCGCCCGGCCAGGACGGAAAAGGCCACTCGACGTCGCGGCGGCGTCCAGACGGGAGAACGGGAGGAGGAGCAGACCGCGTGGGCACAGACTCTGGGAGGTCCGCGCGGAGTTCTCGGATCGGCGCGCGGAGCGCGCCAGGAGCGGCGCCAGAGGCGCAACCCGGGGGGGGTCCAGCGCCGGCGCAAGAAATCCGCACGGGCCTCCGAAAGTGTAGTCCTTCGAGGACGGGGGGCCCTCTCGCTGCTCTTCTCGTCACGCTATGTCACGCGGAAGCCGTTGCTCAAGTGGCATCATGCCCCTGGGTGGGGCTCTTGTGGGCCCTGGGGCCCTGCACGCCGGAGAAAGTCCCAAGGCCCGGGTCGGGATCTCCACTGGGCGAGGTCCTGACCTGCGAGCATGTGCACGAAGATCGGTGCCCCTCCGAAGAGCGCAGGAAGCACCACTCGCGGGGACGGCGCTCGTGCACCGCACCATGCGTGGGAACCCCATGTGGCCTCTGGTCCACGCTCCGGCACGGCACCGTGCCCAGCTTCCCGGCCCTGGGGGGCCGAAGGGCTGCATTCGACGACGTGATCTGTGTTCAGTCCGCGGGCCCCATGAGGTCTTTGCCCCTTCCCTGGAGGCAGCTGTTGCACGGCCCCGAGGGCCCAAGAAAGGCCCTCGGAGGTCGAGAGTTAAGAAAAACGCCTCGATCAAAAAACGGTATGCCAGATGTCTGGGAACGCGTGATGGCTCCTATACGAGTCGTCCGCAGACGATGGTTTGGCGCCACTCCTGGCCCCCAGATCCAGGCAAAACCGTCGCGCCCCCACCCCAGCACGCGCGACAACGGCGGGCCGTCCCGAAGATGGTGGCGACCAGGGCGACATTTCCCGCCCGTGCCCACGTGTCCAGCAGGCTCGTGCCGTGGAGACTTCTGCGTTGGCTGCCGACACCACGTGGATCGTTCAACCTGGAGCGATCACGGCTCTCCGTCTGCAAGACCGTGCGATGATGTACAGATCGACCGATCCTGGGCCTCTGGCAGCGTTCAGCCTTGAACGCCCGCGCTGGGGTCGCCGCCGCGTCGACACGAGACGAACATGCCGTGCTCTGGAGGCCTTCGAGGGGATCCGGGGTCCTCTTGTCAAGCATCCGCCCGCAAGAGCGAGCGGAGGCATGCCGAAGATGCGGCCCAGACACCCAGCGGAGTGGTTTCTTCAATGCTGACGGGGTTCCTCGACTTCGGCCTACGGGACGAAGAACGGATTGGGACCTCGGAGACTGCGGAATGAAGAGTCCTATCGTCGGATGTCTGGGGAGCGTGTGAAATATCGTAGCACCACGCAGTTGCGGATAAGAGTGAGGGGGCGGCGGGGACGTCGGCAGTCTGCGAGGCTCCGAAGAAGCCCGCCGCGGGCGCCTGAGTTTACAAATGATACAACAAGCCCGCAACACGCGCCGATTTGTCGTTAAAGCAATGTGGGTGGGTCGCGGGTGGGTCGCGGGTGGGTCGTGGGTAGGTCGCGAGTGGGTCGCGGACGGGGTCGCGGACGGGGTCGCGGACGGGGTCGCGGATGGTTAGCGGGTGGGTCGCGGGTGTGTCGAGTGTGGGTCGCGGGTGGGTCGCGGGGTGGGTCGCGGCTGGGTCGCGGGTGGGTCGCGGGTGGGTCGTGGGTGGGTCGCGGGTGGGTCGCGGACGGGGTCGCGGACGGGGTCGCAGATGGTTCGCGGGTGGGTCGCGGGTGTGTCGCGGGTGGGTCGCGGGTGGGTCGCGGGGTGGGTCGCGGGTGGGTCGCGGGTGGGTCGCGGGTGGGTCGCGGGGTGGGTCGCGGGTGGGTCGCGGGGTGGGTCGCGGGCCAGGTCGCGGGTGGGTCGCGGGTGGGTCGCGGGCTGGGTCGCGGGCCGGGTCGCGGGGGGACGTCAACAACAACAACAACAACAACAACAACAACAACAACAACAACAACAACAATTACTAGCACGTGGGGACACTCCGTTCTCACCAGTGCCAGGGTTTTCATAGGAGGCGGGCAATACCCCCACTTTGTGGGGGGGCCGGTTCAAGCTCTACCAAATTTCCAAACGACTCTTCGCCACCACCCACACCCAGCTTCCCGCCCTATGACGTTCGGACACTTCACTTCGTGGCATGCGGACGACCGTGGCTACTATTCAGGGCCCCGCGGCCGACGACGACGGCGTGCGCGCGCGAAGAAAAAACGAATGTGTCCCGCATGGTATTATTTGACAGGGATGATGGCCCTGGCAGGTGCGCAACCGTTGTCGCAGAAGTTCGAAAAAGTTGCTCGCAAAAGCCCGTTTGACAGAAATGTTTAAAAAGTGTTGGGTTTCCTACGAATCCGCAAGAGCGCGCGGGATGAGATTTTGACATTTTTTTGTTGAAAAACCATTGGTTTTTTGATGTTTTTATGTTAAAATCGCTGCGAACACTAAGGTTTTGGAAGGATTTCGTCTTGCGCGCGCGAATGTCCACTTTACCTTATTTTTTGCAAGGGATTCTTGAAATTTGATTATATTAGAACAAGAAATGTCATTTTCTATTGTTTTTTGCAAGGGAAAGCGGATTACAACAAAACAACCGGATCCTGTACACACCCTCTTTTCTGAGGCTTCCTCACGAAAATGATGAAAATGTAGCTGCGGCCTAGGCGTCGCAGGGGGGGCGCGCACCAGGGGGCCCAACAATAATTATTCTTTAGAATAAATAATGTTCAACAACAACAATCATGTTAAGACTGTTCGCTCTTATCTGCTCGCGTGTCATTCAATATGCATATCCCAAACCCTGGATACCCGCCCTCTTCGTCTTCGATCGTATCCCCTTTTGGGGGGTATATTCATGCCCTGCCACGTGTGGTTGGTGAAGCCCTTGAAAAGGAAGGGTAAGAGATAACGGGGGAGAATGAGGACGAAGGGATCGGAGGAAGGGAGGGGAGGGGCAAGCGAAGGGGCCACAAAGGGCAGCGAGAGGGCCACGAAGGGCGACAGCGGGGCTACGAAGGGCATGCGTATGGGGCCACGACGGGCGATTACGAGCGGGGGCCACGAAGGGCATATAATGCGGGGCCACAATGGACAGCGACAGGGCCACTGAGGGCAGCAACGGGGCCACGAAGGGCAGCGAGCGAAGGCGACCGCGGAACCAGTACGGGCAGCGAGGGGCATCGAAGGCGGGCAAAGGGCAGCGAGCGGCGACTGCAGTTCCTAACGGGCTGGCTGGTCGGGCGGGCTGGGCGGGTCGAGCGGGCGGGTCGTTGAAGCGTAAATTCTGCTTGAACCGCCAAGCAATATGCAGCGGGAGCGCGATTCCTGAGTGTCGGGGAGCGGCGTCTGAGTAAATTGTGACGAAGTATCAAGCGGGAACCGCGATCCGGTGGTAAATTGCAAGGAAGTCCCAAGCGAGAGCGCGATTCTTCTATAAATTGTGAAGAAATATCAAGCGGGAACCGCGATCCGGTGGTAAATTGCACGGACGTCCCAAGCGAGAGCGCGATTCTGCAATAAATTGTGAAGAAATATCAAGTGAGAGTCGTTGTTGTTGTAAACCGAGGGCGAACAACACAGTTTGACCCTCAAGATTTTCCCTGATTAAAACAGGGTGCGAGCCCCGGGAAGGGCACTTCAATCGAAAAAACAATGTGCACCGGACGGGGGGGATCAACAACAATTATTTGTTCTTCAGAAATGAGAGTTCAACGACAACAACAATCACAACAACAACAACACCACCACCACCACCACCACCAACAACAACAACAACAACCACAAAATCAACAACGACGACGACGACAATTGCAACAACTACAACAACAACAACCATAACAACAGCAACAACAACAACAACAACAACGCAACGCAACGCAACGCAACGCAACGCAACGCAACGCAACGCAACACAACAACAACAAGCATAATCCGCGCCGCGGAGTCCCACTTCAGCCATGATGCACACAGGGACAACGCATGACCGTCCGGCATCGCAGCCGCATGGATTTTGCAAAATATATGGCGGGTGGTAAGGTGGGATGGTTGCGCGAGCAGTCGAGTTGATAACTCCAGAGTTGGTCAAAACTAATGCATCCACGTAGATGGCACTATGTGATTTGCACCACATAAGCTGCACGACATATTGTCCCACACAGATTGCACTATCTAGACAGTCTGCACTCCATGAGTTCCAGTAACTCACTCTTTCGGGCCCACGCTGGCATCACATCTCTCGAACGATCTGACTAGCGATCTGAATACCAAACTAAATGACAATCACGAGACACCCGCGGTGGCCCTCTCGCAAAGCCCATGGAAAGCGTCAGCGCGATCCGGAGCGGATATTCTAGCGACGCTTGGCCAGACGCCGACTGCACCTGGAGCTCAAGCCGAAGCTGAAGCGAACATCTGAACAAATGAACGACCGTATGCTGAAATCGTGCGCGCTCCGATGGGGAGACTGCCCGCGCCCATTAGGGCATGGCGTGGACGTGGAGGCCGTAGCCTCGAAGGGTCGAGTTAAGCTTGAAACTGCGACCAGTGCGACGCTCGAGCTGGAGGGAGATAGAGCGACATCCCTGCTGAGAGCTAAGACAATGTTACGCTAAGAAGACGTACTTCACTCTCAGCGTTTTCTGAAACAGTAGTCCCAATCGAGATATACGCAAGTTCGACGAATAAAACTCCAAAGAAACGCCCAGGTTCCAGGCTTGGCTTTCTCGCACGAAATCTGGAGTCCATTTCAGATCTCTGATGGGCGTACGGCTGAAATCTTGAATCCATGGGGCATCGAGCCCGAAGCCTCGAGCGGCTGGCAGGTGGCCCAGTGGTGGGACAAGGCGGGTCCCCCAGGGCGCCGTCGTAGGGCGAGGCTCGAGGCCCATCTCCCACGGAAGGTACACCGTTCCCGCTGGTGTTCTCGAGACGCCTGCCTGTAGCTGCTCGGAGGGATGGAGACGGCCGGTCCTTCGCCATTTTTGACCTCTGGGTCCACTTCTGGGGCCTGGGGCCGTCAAACAGCTACTGGGGATGAAAAGCCAGCTGTGGAGAAGGGGTCGAGAAGTCTGGGGGCCCATGTCTTGAAAACACCCCAGACATCCGACGGTGTTATCATCGTTCTGCATGCGCAACCCTGGATGTCCCGGCCTTTTCCCCATGGGTAGGTAGTTTAGCGTCCTGGATCAAGCTCTTGATTGTCCTGGGGCCCGATGGCGGCCTCTGGAGGCCGAAATCACTGACAAACGCCACGACCTTGAACAACAAAAACATACCTTCGGAGGTCTGAGATCGAGAACACTGGACGTCTGGGTCTGGCACCGCTCGGCGGCGGCACCCGTCGGTCCTCGATGCGCAGCAGCTGGTTGTACTTCGCGACACGCTCCGAGCGGCACGGCGCCCCGGTCTTAATCTGCCCCGTGCCGAGCCCGACGCACAGGTCCGCGATGAACGTGTCCTCGGTCTCGCCGCTGCGATGGGACACCATCACACCCCAGCCTCAGAAGAGAAAGCGGCACAAACACCCATTTCCGGGGCTCCGCGCGAATCGCCTGGATCGGCGCTGGAGGCCCCCTTGCCTGGCGCGCGGAGCACGCCAGGGGCGGCGCGGACGGCGCCGCCAGGAGGGCCCAGCGCAGATCCAGGAAATCCGCGCAGACCTCCGAACAGTCATGCACATGCGGCTTGTTCTGTTTTTCTTGTTCGGCCTTCCGCCACGCTGTCCATGCTGGCGGTGATGGCCTCGGTAATGGAGCCGATCTGGTTCACCTGACGGCTCATGGACTTGTTCCAGGCCAGCAGTGCAGGCGTAGCGACGGAGGGCTCGACAGACGCGCCCCGGAGGTGTCAAGCTGGCGAGACTCTCGACAACCACCGATCGTCAAGTGCTCCCTGTAACACCAGGTCTCCTGCTCAACGATTGGGTCGAAAGACGCCGCCGATTCGACTTAAAGACGCTGGCCGATTCGACTAATAGACGCTGCGCGACTCGATGTAGGGACGCTCCCGTCCAAAGGGTAGTAGGTGGAACATGGAGTCCGCCAACCACGTGGGCGCGGGCGGTTTAGGGCGCCAGCTCTTGCAGAGCAACCCCTTCTTCCCTCTTCGTTGAGTGGGGTTGCCCGTCCCCCTCTTCCTACCCAGGGAGTCTGCACGAGCGGGGTCGCAAGGGGTTCCTAGAGGATCGAAAGCTGCAAGTCCAGAGGTCCAGCCTTCATCATGGATGACAAAAGCTCCAGGATGGAGGAAATAAGCTTCCAGAATGAAGGTCGGACCTCCAATGTGGAGGTACTCGAGTGTCTGGGTTGGAGTGTCCGAATTGGCCCAAGACAGCTCCACGACTGCCCGAGGTAGCCCGTGATGGCTGCTGACACGGCTCAAGGAAGCGCCAAGAAAGCCCTAAAATGGCTCTGAGGTGACCCCCATCCTCCCAGTAATGCACCCGGAAAGGCAAAGATCAACAGCTTTGATATGGTGTTTGTCGTGTCACTTTTCGCTGGGGCCATGCATAAAGGGGTGGAGGCAAATGGGCTCAATCAGAACGCTTGGGAGTTCACAAGACCCAACAGGGCCAGAAAAGGCAATGCGTCAGCCTCTGCTGCTGATTGAGGGCCCTCCCTGTCAAACGGTCCCGGAAAAGCTCCCGAGAGATAGCCCTAAGAGGGCTCTAGAGGGCCTGCAAGAGGCTCCAAAGTGGTTGGCCATACATGAAGCAAAACACATGACGGCTAATCCAAACTAGACCAAGCGAATACGCCCTACTTTCTCCCGACTGAGCTTGAGCTTATTTTCCAGCCCACGCGTTGGGCGGCGTAGGGCTTGTGAGCGAATGAGTGGGAAGGGCCTCCAGAGCCACGGGAGACTTCAGGAGGCGCTTAACAACCCCATCACCTGACAACCATTTCCAACCAATAGACCCGATTTATCACTACAGTCAGCGCCTGCGGCGCCAACAACGCGAGCCACGAAGTGGAACGTCAAATGAGCTCCAACCCTGAGGATCGAAACTCAAACTGTGGGCGCTGGGCCTTTAGGAAAGAAAACAGCATCCAGACTGAAGGAAACAAACTTCCTGAATTGAGGTCGAATCTCCATTCTGGAGGTTTTCGATCACGTGGGAAAGCAAGCTTCCAGCACACACAAACACACACACACGCAGGCATACTCATACATACATACATACATACATACCTACATACATACATACATACATACGTACGTACGTACGTACGTACATGCATGCATGCATACATACATACATACATACATGCATGCATACATACATACATACATACATACACATACATACGTACATACATACACACATGCATGCATGCATGCATGCATGCATGCATACATACATACATACATACACACATACATTCACACATACATACACACATACATACATACATACGTACGTACGTACGTACATACACACATACATACACACATGCATACACACATACATACATACATACCTACATACATACATACATGCATGCATGCATACATACATACATACATACATACGTATATACATATATACATACATACGTACATACGTACATACGCACACACACATACATACATACATACATACATACAGACATACAGACAAACAGACAGACAGACAAACAGACAAACAGACAAACATACTTACATATACACATATATACATACATACTTACATACATACATACATACATACATACCGACCGGTCGACCGACCGACCGACCGACCGACCGACAGACAGACAGACAGACAGACAGACAGACATACAAACATACATACAGACATACATACATACATACATCTATGCTTGGCGGATTCCTGGGCGCCACCCTTTGCAGATTCACAGCACTTTTGCTACAGACAGACCATGCTGATAATCTGTGTGATTGCGGCCCAGAGCCGCTCGCATCTAGATGCCATAGCCTCGCACGGGTATTCACCGCGAGGCAATCACAACTCCAGTGCAAGTGTAGAAAGGCTCTAACAGTAGGGTGGGACGAAGGGAACCGAGGGAGGAAGCTTGAGCATTGATGCAACAACGGTCGCAACGGCGCCCTCTCATCCTGACTCGCAGAGAACACCAGGCACGCCAGAGCAATCCATGTTTGGCGGATTCCTGGGCGCCAGCCTTGCAGATTCACAGCACTTTTGCTACAGACAGACCATGCTGATAATCTGTGCGATTGCGGCCCAGAGCTGCTCGCATCTAGATGCCATAGCCTCGCACGGGTATTCACCGCGAGGCAATCACAACTCCGAACTAGAGCGCAAACACTGACACTTTGCGAAACTCTCACACTGGCCGTCAGGCCACATATTTAGTTAAAGTACAGAAAGCTTTATTTCGCAACGCTTGCTTGTAGGCTCTACTAAGCTCTACACATAACCCTCTGGGATATGGTTCGGCGATGTGGGTAAGAAATCGCCCGGAACTGTCTTTTCCTTCAAGCACCCTGTGTGGGCACTTTGTAAAACTGCAAACGCCGCGGCCTCGACATCGGGCCCCTTTGAGCCCGGCAAGGTCGAGATGACAAAATCGAAGGCGAGTTCGTTTACGCCGCGGGGTTCCGAAAGCGCAGAAATCGACATCAAGATCGAGAACGTTACTGGAACGGGCAAGCGCTTGGGCCCCTGGGAGACTCCAAAGCCAGGAGGTTGAAGGATTCTCGATAACTACAGGGACTCTAAGGGATCTGCACAAGGAAAAAAGGCTAAAGCTGAAGCGGGCTAGACGATTACCACGGGCAACCTTCAGACAGTCGGCGGGATTCAGGTGCGGGAGTCCGAGGGGGTGCTGAGCGTCTCGAAGCGGCGGGGGTCCATTCGGCCGATTACGAGCCCGCGACATTGATTGGCACGGAGTAGCTATCCACACCCCTAGGAGCATCCTGCTGCGTACCCAACCCCTGATCAGCTTCTGAATTCTACCAGACAAAACATCGGCAGCGGCGTCATGAACAATGTCGAGCTCGAAGCAGGCGGTCCCCCTCAGGACTAACCGAAGCGACCGAGAAAGGTTGCCGCTCCCACTGAAGACTTCTAACATGACTTGCTGCCCAGATTCGTTCACAAAACGAGCTAGGTCGCGCAGAGGACGGCGCCAATCGTATCGAGGCTTCGCTTCGCGGTGCCTTGAATGTGGTGTGGGAGCATGTTCAACTGTTCTTGAATCCGTCCTCCTTTGGCGTACCGCCTCACGGCCTGATCTGTGGCCCAACGACCTCTCTTTTTCACCTCGTCCTGGGTGTGGGCCCGGACCAGCAGCTCGTGGCTCGCTCCTCCGTGCCTGAGCTGGTGAAGGGTCAGTGGCAGCAACGGCTGAAGACCACTGTCCCTGGCTGCGGCGGCGAACTTGGCGTTCCACTCGCTGTGCGTTACGGGGAAGAGAGGGCTGTTCTTGGGACGCTCGCGCAGCAGCTTTTGGAAAAGACCGGGCAGCCAAGGAAAGGCGGGGCTGTCTACCAGCAGCGAGTCGTCGTACACCCCCGTCTTGCTGGACACCCCGGCTTCCCTTGGATGAAGCGTCACGCTCCAGGTCCCGCGTGGGCCTCCATGAAGCACCGACGGGGGCACCAGGCTGTTGGTAGTCAGGGAGAGCGCTTCCGAAGGCCTCAGGTACAGGGCGAAGGCCACGGCCGTGAGCTCCGCAAGCACTCGCTGTCCGGCCTGGATGAGCTGGCGGATGACAAGGCAGCAGGCAGCCCACGGCAGCGGGAGCCTCGACCGAGGTGGAGCCAGCTTGCGCCATCCTCGCGCAGCTCGGGTCGCACGCGGCAGACTGCTGTACTTCAAGCCCAGGTGGCGGCCCTCGAAGGCCAGCGACGCAAACAGCTTCCACGCGTCCGTGCTCTCGCCCCCCTCCAAGAACTGCTCGTGGAAGTAGATCACCAGGGTCTCGTCCAGTTGCTCCTCGGTCACCGTCACCAAGCGCGAGTGCTCCGCCCAGAGGTAAAAGTCGTGAGCTCTCCTCTGGTAGTCCCGGCGAGTGGCGGCAGACACCGACTCCTGCTCCAGAAACGAGTGACCCGCTCCGGGCCTCGGGACGATGTCCCGGCTGTAGCCCTGGCGGCGCTGCAGGCGCCTGGCGGCTCGGCGGTCGCTTTCCACGCGAGCTCGGACACCGAGGCTCGTCGCCGAGGCTGAGGCCGGGCGGCGGCGAGTCGAGGCCGCGGCCAAGCTGGCCCCTGGCCCGCCCCGACCTCTCGGCAAGCCGCCCCCCACCTGAACAAGGGCTGCTGCGCCTGGCATCTCCAGCGGCTGCGCGATCCGCCTCAGCTGTAAGGCCAGGTCGATTACGCGAGGCTGCGTCAGCACTGTTGTGCTCGGAAGGTACCCAGCGCCAGACAACGCCACAGCCACTGCACAGAGCCAACGCTGCCACCTGACGGCATACTCGCTGAAGTGGCGCCGATGAGGACCGACCCTTGAGCAAAGCCAGCAACGGGGCCATAGAGTCATTTAGGATGACATGAGTGTGTCTGAAATTCCGAGAGCTCCGAAGAAGATGCTTTAGACAGCTGACCAGAGCCCTGCCTTCCAAGATGACCTGGGGCTCCTCGCGCCCCCAAGGCTTCGAAAGGACACGCTTCCAGACACCACCCCAGACCTCCTTCGAGACGCTCCTGAACTTGGCCTCCGGAGGCTTCGGGAAGACCTTGATGGGCTCCTCGAACAACAGGCCGTGCGAGGCCTTCAGGACATGGTGGGGCTCGCCGAACCCCGCACTCGTCTTGGTCTCCTCGGTCTCATCCTC